TCATCAGGCTCAGTTTCCCTGAGGGGAGGGTGGCAGGAATGGAGGAGCTGTGCCATGTCACCAGGCTTTGAGGGCAGGACACTTACCTGGGCTTGGAGCTCTGGAGAATCATCCACTGGCCTCAGTCCCAGCTCTGCCCAAACCCTGAGGGCCTGGAAGCCCAGCCTGGCCCTCCCTGCTGGTGCCATCCATCTGATGCCATGCTGATGCCACCTGTGTGCCCTCGCCAGGTGGTGGGCAGGTGAGTGGCAGCTGTGCTCCAGCTCCTGTGGGCCTTGGGGCCTCTCCCACCGGGCCGTGCTCTGCATCCGCAGCGTGGGGCTGGATGAACAGAGCGCCCTGGAGCCCCCGGCCTGTGAACACCTTCCCCGGCCCCCTACTGAAACCCCTTGCAACCGCCATGTGCCCTGTCCAGCCACCTGGGCTGTAGGGAACTGGTCTCAGGTGAGTGTAGGATGGGAGGGGGCCTGCCTCCAGCTCCACCCTTGGTCTTTGGCTACAGATAGGCAGACAGCCTTCCTGGAGCCTTCGTGGGTGGGAGGGAGCCTGGGCATTCCAGGGTCCAGCCCCTGACTCTAAAGCCTCAGGGATCAGGAAGCCCCTGGCAAGCATGTCCACAGCCATGGCCTTGAGCTGGGCAGGGCCAGAGAGGGCTGGCTGGGATCTCTGCCACTCTGACATCGGGCAGTGGACAGGTTACCCAGCCATGCCCCTCACCCTGGCTTCCCCTGCAGTGCTCAGTGACATGTGGGGAGGGCACTCAGCACCGAACTGTCCTCTGCACCAATGACACTGGTGTCCCCTGTGACGAGGCCCAGCAGCCAGCCAGCGAAGTCACCTGCTCTCTGCCACCCTGTTGGTGGCCCCTGGACACACTGGGCCCTGAAGGCTCAGGTAGCGGCTCCTCCAGCCACGAGCTCTTCAATGAGGCTGACTTCATCCCACGCCACCTGGCCCCACGCCCTTCACCGGTCTCATCACCCAAGCCAGCCACCATGGGCAATGCCATTGAGGAGGAGGCCCTAGAGCTGGACCTGCCGGGGCCCGTGTTTGTGGATGACTTCTACTACGACTACAATTTCATCAACTTCCATGAGGATCTGTCCTATGGGCCCTCTGAGGGGCCTGATCTAGACCTGGCGGAGACAGGGGATCAGACGCCCCCACCACACAGTAGTCCTGCTGTGCCCTCCACAGGTAGCCCTGTGCCTGCCACAGAGCCTCCTGCAGCCAAGGAGGAGGGGGCACCGGGACCTTGGTCCCCTAGCCCTTGGCCCAGCCAGGCCGGCCACTCCCCACCCCCACCCTCAGAGCAGACCCCTGGGAACCCTTTGATCAATTTCCTGCCTGAGGAAGATGCTCCCAGAGGGGCCCCAGATCTTGGGCTCCCCAGCCTGCCCTGGCCCAGGGTTTCCATTGATGGCCTGCAGACACCTGCCGCCCCTGAGAGCCAAAATGACTTCCCAGTTGGCAAGGACAGCCAGAGCCAGCTGCCCCCTCCATGGAGGGACAGGACCAATGAGGTTTTCAAGGATGATGAGGAACCCGAGGGCCGCGGAGCACCCCACCCGCCTCTGAGACCCAGCCCCACGCTGCCCCCTTTGTCCCTGCCCCCTTTGTCCCCTGTCGGCAGTGCCCACTCCTCTCCTAGTCCTGATGTGACAGAGCTATGGACAGGAGGGACTGTGGCCTGGGAGCCAACTCTGGAGGGTGGCCTGGGGCCTGTGGACAGTGAACTGTGGCCCACTGTTGGGGTGGCTCCTCCCCCTCCTCCTCCCATAGCCCATCTGCCAGAGATGAAGGGCAGAGACAGCCCCCTGGAGCCGAGGACTCCCACCTTCCCAACCCCAGGACCAGGCTTATGGGACGTGCAGACTGTGGCAGTGTGGGGGACCTTCCTCCCCACAACCCTGACTGGCCTCGGGCACACGCCTGAGCCTGCCCTGAACCCAGGACCCAAGGGCCAGCCTGAGTCCCTCAGCCCTGAGGTGCCCCTGAGCTCTAGGCTACTGTCCACGCCCGCTTGGGACAGCCCCGCCAACAGCCACAGAACCCCTGAGACCCAGCCGCTGGCTCCCAGCCTGGCTGAAGCCGTCTCCCCTGCGGACCTGTTGGCTGTCAGGAACGCTAGCTGGCAAGCGGGAAACTGGAGCCAGGCAAGTGGTGCGGGCTGGGTGGGCTGGGAGTTTGCGCGGGACCTTGGTGACTGTTTCCTCATCTGAAAATGAGCAGAGTGGGACACAGGCGCCATCTGTCTCGCCTCTCTTGGGGCAGGAGTTCCCAGGATTAAGGGAATGAGGGGACCCTGGGGCCCATTTCTGGGCAGCACAGGGGGCCTCAGGGAAGGCAGGGGCAGGCACGCTCTGGCAGCACAGCCCACCCCAGGATGCAACTGGCTCAGACAGCTGTGTAATGGGGAGGGTCCCCGCATGGCTGCCAGGCCCAGTCCTGCCTAGCAGGCAGCAGCTTCCCTGAGGCTTGGCCTGGCTCCTCCAGGCTGGGCTCAGCCCACTGCCACCTGGCTCTGCCCTAAGTGACTCCACCCTCCTTTGACAGTGACCTGCAGGCATCTGAGCTGCATGAAAGAAGCTGGCCAGGGCCCCCTCCCTGGGTCCCCAGATGGTCACTGCAGGAGAAGCAAGCTTCTGTTCAGATCCCTAATTTGGGGGTGGGAAGGGGCAGGCTGAGGCCCACAGGACTTGTTTTGCGCATCGATCGCCAGCGATTTGGCTGCTTGTCCCAGGACCCAGCCTTCCTTCCCTGGTGCCTCTGGGAAGTGACGAGGCTGGTCAGGACAGCTGGTCAGGGGTGCCCTCAGGGCCCCCTCCCCCACCTCTGCACCAATGACACTGGAACACAGGCCCTTTGTCCCATGTGAGCAGGGACGGTTGGTTGCTGGGGGGATTTGACTTTTCATTCTCATGGTCTTCCTGGGAGGTGGGTGGAGGAGCCTATTTTGCAAATAAGGAAACTGAGGCCCAGAAGAGGGCCCCTGTCTTGCTGAGGTCTCGCTAGGCTAGGTGGGTAGTTTCCTGGCTGTAGAGGCCTGGCGGGGATGGGATCTGCCTGGCTTTCACGGGTCTGTGCCCCGCAGTGCTCCACCACTTGTGGCCTGGGTGCCGTCTGGAGGTCGGTGCGCTGTAGCTCTGGCCGGGATGAGGACTGCGCCCCCGCTGGCCGGCCCCAGCCTGCCTGTCGCTGCCACCTGCGGCCCTGTGCCACCTGGCACTCAGGCAACTGGAGTAAGGTGCGTGAGGATGGAGCTAGGACAGGCATTCCCAGGGCATGGGTTGGAGCCCTGGTTCCCCGTGGCCTGTGTTCCAAAAGCAGCAGGACAGGGGAGGGCTCCAGGCTGCACGTCTGTGTGCCCGATCACACCGGATTCCGAATCTCTTGGGAGTCTGTGTCTGGTTTGGCCTGTTTCCTTTCCTCTGTATTTTTGACCCCAGCTGGACTTGTCTTTTACCAGCTTGCCTTTGTTCCTCCCTTTCTCTGTCTGTCCCAGCCCCTGGCAGCCTCTGGCCATGCCACCTTTTGCCTGGGGCGGGCCAGCCTTGGCCTCTCGCTGGGGCTCTTCAGGGATTTGCCCCGGGCTGGGGCGTGGGCCTGATGCCTTTCCCGCCACATGCCTCTCACACCTGTGGGCCTGCACCTGGGGATGTGTCCCCACACGTCTCTCGGTCCCCAGTGCTCCCGCAGCTGCGGCGGAGGTTCCTCAGTGCGGGATGTGCAGTGTGTGGACACACGGGACCTCCGGCTGCTGCGGCCCTTCCACTGTCAGCCCGGGCCTGCCAAGCCACCTGCGCACAGGCCCTGCGGGGCCCAGCCCTGCCTCAGCTGGTACACCTCTTCCTGGAGGGAGGTGAGGCCTGGGGGTTCAGTTGGGGGGAGGGGACGCCCTCAGATGCTGGCTGTGCCCTGACTGCTTCCCTGCCCACCCAGTGCTCCGAGGCCTGTGGCGGTGGTGAGCAGCAGCGTCTGGTGACCTGTCCAGAGCCAGGCCTCTGCGAGGAGGCGCTGAGACCCAACACCACACGGCCCTGCAACACTCACCCCTGCACACAGTGGGTGGTGGGGCCCTGGGGCCAGGTGAGCCGGGCTGAGTGGAGGAGCAGGGAGCAAGTGCGTGGTGGCACCTGGTCGGTCCTGGGTTGGGTGAAGGATCTTTTGAGTGTGTGCTGTGAGCCAGGCTCTCTGTGGCCCCTGCGCATGCAGCAGTGACTGGACGAGGCCCCGCCCACTGGTGCTCACACCTGCCAGGGAGAAACAGACAAGGAAAGGGCATGTGTGCTGTGATGTCAGGGAAGGCCTTCCAAGGAGGGGGTCTGCGGTTGAGACCCGAGGGAGGGGTCAGTGATGCCAAGGACAGGGATCAAGGGGATAGCAGGTGTGAAGTCTGAGGCAGGAATGACGAGCTTGGGGGTATCAGGGAGCCCAGCAAAGGCCAGCGGCAGAAGGGGGCGGAAGAGGGCCCTCAGATGGGCAGGACACCTTCTGCCGGGCCTGTTTGGAACTCAGGGGTTCAGGTGTCTCAGATTTGGGCCCTGAACTGGGTCCTGGAGTCAGCTGGGCCAGCGTTTGAGTCTTTGTCCCACTGGCTGCTGAGTGACTCTGGGCAGGTTGCTTTGCTTTGCTAGGTCACTGTTTTTTCATCTGTAAAATTGGGACAGCTTGGGAGAGGAGGGTTGGGAAGATTAAATGAACGAACACAACAAAGCACAGGGCTGGGCACAGCACGACACTGGCACAGACTCAGCGCATGTTTAGGGCTTTCAGACCCACACCTGATAACAACGAAGCCTGGTGGGCTGGGCCCCGGCTGTGAAACCTGTCTCCTCCCTTCCTGCCCATGGGCTGCGGCAGGTCCTCTGCCCTGTTCCTCCGGCACAGCGGTGTCTCGCCCACATCTCTGCCCACCGCTGCATCAGGGCTCCATCCCGGGGCCCCTGCCCAGGCCTCTCAGGCATGTCCCTGGTGAGGAGCTCACTGCCCAGGAACCCCGAGGGCTGTCCCACTGTTCTCATGCCCCTCCCCTCTGCAGGAGCCGATCCCACAAGTGAGAGTGGGGTTCCAGCGCCAAGTGGGCTCTAGGAGTGGGACCAGGTCCTCCAGGAGGCACTCAGGGGGCGGCTGGGAGCAAGGGCAGGCCTGTCAGGCACAGGGCGCAGGGATGGCTTCCCAGAGGAGGTGTCACTGTCCCCATTGTTAGGACTGGCCCCGGAGAAACTCATTCCTCCCCCACTCCCCCCAGTGCTCAGCCCCCTGTGGTGGTGGCGTCCAGCGGCGCCTGGTCAAGTGTGTCAACACCCAGACGGGGCTGCCAGAGGAAGACAGCGACCAGTGTGGTCACGAGACCTGGCCTGAGAGCTCCCGGCCGTGTGGCACCGAGGATTGTGAGCCCGTCGAGCTTCCCCGTGAGTCCCCTGATCCCAGGATCTCTACTGAAGTGAGGTGGGGTGGGGAGGGCGATGGGGAAATTGGGTCGTCAAACCATTGCGTCTGGGCTCAGGAGCCATGTGGCCACTGAAAATCCTGATGCCACAGGATGCCATGCTGGAGGCTGGGCTGTGCTGGGAGTCAGTCAAGGGGAGTCCCAGTCATACAACATCCCGCAGGCAGCTGTCTGACCTCGGGGGAGTAGAGGGAGTGGCCCTGGCCCCTGATTTGCTGTGTGAACCTGGGTAAGCTCTTTCCCCTCTGGGTCTCAGTCTTCACAGTGAGACCAGGGATGTCCCTGAGGCTGTGTGAAAACTGGGCCTGGGTGAGTCCCTGTCCTTAGCCCTGGCCTGTCCATTCCCTGGCCAGAGGACTACCTAGAGTGAGCAATGGAGCCGCAGGAAGGGCCTCCCTTCCAGGGCCCTGCTGATGAGGTAATGGGGTTTGAGGCAGGAAGGGCCTCCCTTACAGGGTTCTGCTAATCCCAGTGGTGGGGGGTTTCCTGGCCAGCTGGGTCCTGGTGGAAGGGCCTGAGCTAGAGGTGGTTCTGCACAACGCCGCCGCTGCCTCCAGCACACACACACACACACACACACACACACACACATACACTCATACACTTCCTTCCTGCAGCCCCAGCTGCTCTCAGCAGTGCTGATGGCAGGAAACGTGGTGGCCCTGGAGTGTCACCTAGGCTCCTTTCGCCAGCTGTGTGGCCTTGGGCTCCATTTCCCTCTCAGGGCCTTCATGTGCTGAATAAAGGGGCCACCAAGCCCCATCCTTGCATAAATGAAGTCTGGGCATGAAGGGCCCAGCACTGCGTGGGCATCGAGGGGATACTCAGGCAAAGCGGCTTCTTCCCCTCTGCCAAAGCCACTGTCATCCCCAATTGCAAGGTCAGGGAGAGGGCCTGGGGCCAACCCTGCCAGTCTAAGGAATCCAGAAGCTGTGGTGTGAGGAGCTGTGGCCCCTGTGCTATTGGCTGTCTGCTCCCTACCCCTAGGACAGAGTCCTCAGCCAGGGCCCTCAAGCTGGCATTTGGGGCCCCCTGCAATCTCCCTGGTCTGCCTTCTCCCCTTGTCCAATACAGCCTTCTCTATCTGCACTAGCTCCTGGGCAGCCCTCATTCAGGCTCAGAGTGGCCCCTGCCATGCCTCGCTACCCTGCCTCTGGCAGGGGTGGCCTTCCTGCCTCAAACCGCATTACCTCAAGGCCCAGTGGCAGTGCCCCCACCCTGTCCTGCCTGCCCTCAGCATGCACCTAGCCAGCATCTCAGAGTGCTCCTGTGTGTCGCCTAAGCTGGGTGCTGGCACCATGTCTCTCACCTTCAGCGTTAGGGCTGGCCAGAGGGAGCAGGGTGGTTATGATCCCCGGGGATGAGGACCAGATGGGGCAGAGAACAGGAACTGAGGCGCCTGGCGGCCTAGAACCAAGGACGGATGGCCCAGGAGGCTCTGGGCCTGCAAAGTCTCCCAGGGGCGGGTGTGAGTGGGCTGCAGGGAGTGGGCAACGGGGGCTGGTTAGGTGGCTGAACTAGAAGCTGTCCTAAGTGAGGAGTTTTCTGCCACCAGTGAACAGTGGAGGGGCGGCTGGGAAGGTATCTTGGACTTCCAGACCTGGAATTCCCAGGATGTTTTGCTGGTCTGTGGGACAGTTGGCGGGACATGTGGAAAGCCGGGAAACTGGTGTGTGTGTGGTCACTGCAATGACACAGCATGGCCACATCCGTTTGTTGTGGAGGTGGGGTTGACAGAGGAGGGAACCAAGGCCCAAGAGGTGAAGCAGCGTATCTGAGGTCACCCCGGGTGACCAGGATGCATGCCTGCAGATGTACACTTTGGAGCTCTGCCTGGAGTTGGGGTGGAGGAGCCTGCCTGCTGCCTTGTGCCCTCTGCCGGGCCTGGGGGATGTCCCAGGGGCTGCTGCCCTCCTGCTCCTCCTCCCTAGGGAGGTCTGCTGGAGTAAGCAGGGCCCGGGCAGCAGTTGGGGGCTGTCAGCAGTGGCAGTGGCATCAGGAGCAAGGCCAGGAGGCTGGGAACAAGCTACTTCCCAAAATAGTTCTGATAACTTGGGGCAGGAGGGCCCAGCCAAGCCTCAGCCCTGAGGAGCACAGCCTGGAGCTGGCCTCCCTCCCCAGTGGGCCTGGGCTCAGTCCCTGGTTTCCGCTGACAGCCTGTAAGGCCCACTCTCTCTAGGCTTCGTGGCCCACCTGAGAATTGGGAGGCTGGTCTGGGAGATGGGACCCTGTGACCCAGAACCCGAGGCTGAATACAGCCCCCATGGCGGGAAGTGGTCACGGAGGCCTGGCAGGACAGATGTACTGGGGCAGGGGGTGGTGGTGGGAGTCGGGGACAGAGGCCGCTGCAGGCTGGCAGGAGGCCCCGGGACCGCAGTTCTGTGGCAGGATCTGTTGGGGAACACCAGGGGTGAGCAAGGATGGAGATGGGGTGGCAGGGAGTCGCCCTGGGCAGGCTCTTTCACGGGCATGTGAGGGCATCAGGGTGGGGTCTCAGGACCTTTCCTCCAGAAACCTCAGCCCAGGAGCGCCGGTTCTCGAGTCCTGGGGTTGGTCATGAGTAGGTGGGACAGAAACAGCAACAGCTGGAGACCTGCAACTCCGGTTCGCGAGCCACTCCAAAAACCGAGGCTCTCTACTTGGTGGGGAGCTGCTGGAGCCTCCTTAAGGTGGTTGGGGTGGGGAGCCAGGTTCTGGGTACCCTAAACCACTGATTCTGATGCCTCTCTGCCCCCCACTCCAGGCTGTGAGCGGGACCGCCTGTCCTTCGGGTTCTGTGAGAGGCTGCGCCTACTGGGCCGCTGCCAGCTGCCGACCATCCTCATGCAGTGCTGCCGCTCGTGCTCTCCGCCCAGCCACGGCGTCCCCTCCCGAGGCCATCAGCGGGTTGCCCGCCGCTGACTGTGCCAGGATGCACAGACTGACCGACAGACCTCAGTGCCCACCACGGGCTGTGGCAGAGCTTCCACCCCCTGCGCCCTAATGGTGCTAACCCTCTCCCTACCCAGCGGCAGGCTGGGGACCTCCTCCCCATCAAAAAAGGTATTTTTTTATTCTAACAGTTCGTGTAACATTTATTACGATTTTACATAAATGAGCATCTACCATTCCAAAGCACAGTGTGACTTCATCCTGGATTTGGGGAATCTTAAAAGTCAGAAACTCTTCCCCCAACCCCTCTGCCCAAAACTCCACCACGGCAGCACCTTGGCAGGCGCGGCTTTTCACGTGCTCCTCTGGGGCAGATCTGCAGTGGGCAGAGCAGCAGTCGGGTCCATGAGAGCATGGCGTCTGGTGAAGCACAGAAGGCCTTGGAAGCCGGGGGCTGCTGCCCAGGGAGGTCTGTGTGCAGAGGGTGGGGTTCTGGGGGCAGGAAGGTCTTCTGGGCAGGGGCACAGCTTGGCCCTTACTTGCTGCCTGCCTCCAGCTCAGGCTTCCAGCGTCCGCTGGGGCCCCACTCTGTGGTCCTCAGAGACCTGTTCCACAGGGATTGGGCCCATCTTGTCACTTGCAGGGACTGTCCCCTGGAGTGATGGGGACTGGGGCCCCCGGGGGCACCTCCCTGGCCCTGTCTGTTCTATCTGTTGACTCTTCTACAAAAAGCGGGCAGAGAGGGGAAGAGCAGGCTGGCCAGCTGTGCCCTACTGTGTCCCCATGTGTCCCTTCATCTCTGTGCCCAGAGATAGGGCTGGGCTAATTGCCACTGCCTCGGGGTGGCCCCTTTCCCACCACCAGCCCCAGCAACAGGTTCCTACCACGCTGATCGATGGTCCAGCACCTGGCACCTGCCTACCCACAGCCCCTTCCCCTCCCATAAAATCTAGTCCCATGGAGCCAGACAGTGGTGCCCACAGCAGGGAACAGATGAGCATGAATGTGTTTTGAAAAGGGTCCTGTCCTGGCCAGGGGCAGGAGGCTGGGGAAGGGGCAGACACTGTCCTCCCAGGCCCAGGCCCAGCCCTGGAGCTGACCCTACCCTCTGTCTATGAGCCTTGGACTCAGTTGTTGACAATTTCCTCCTCAGCCCTCCCCCTGGAAGGCGTTATGCCCCTTCTCCAGGTGGGGACACTAAGGTTCAGAGAGGTCACCCTGCAGCCTACAGGGGTCACCTCTCACATTCTATCTCCAGCATATGACATCCCTGGACGAAAGGCGAGTGTGGCCCTGGAACCTGCATGTGGCAGCCACGGCCACTCAGGGCTGGGTGTATGCTGGGGATGGAGGAGACACCACTGAAAATCACTCCTGGCTGGGTGCAGTGGCTCACGCTTGTAATCCCAGTGCTTTGGGAGGCTAGGTGGGCGGATCACCTGAGGTCAGGAGTTTGAAACCAGCCTGGCCAATGTGGCAAAACCCTGTCTCTGCTAAAAATACAAAAATTAGTCGGGTGCGGTGGTGGGCACCTGCAATCCCAGCTACTCAGGAGGCTGAGGAAGGAGAATCACTTGAACCCAGGAGGCGGAGGTTGCAGAGAGCTGAGATTGCGCCTTTACACTCCATCCTGGGCAACAGAGTGAGACTCCATCTCAAAAAAAAAAAAAAAAAAAAAAAGTGACTCCTTAGGGACTAAGACCAAGAAACAGTATCAGAGGCTGAATCTTTTGCGATGAGTGTCTGTCCAAGGACTTGGAAGGGAGGGAGGGAGCGTGACCAGGGTGGCTGCCTGCAGGTGTGTGTCCTGCTGCTCCCCAATTCAACACACTCACCTCATTTCACACCAACACACCCCATCCTCAGAGGAGGAGCCCAAGGCTCTGAGAGGAAGTAATTGGCCCAAGGGCACATGCCCTGCTGACACAGGCCCATCCTAGGCTCCAACTGCCCACCTCCAAGCTCCAGGCCACCCTGAGCAGGTGGAAGAGGGAGAGGGCCCCGAGCAGGCCCCAGTGGCAGCTTTGCACAAAGTGGGCAGCCTGCCAGAGTTCACGCAGGAAAGCAAGTTGCTGGGCAAGCTAGCGTGAGTCCAGCCCCGCTGCGCTGCCCGCGGGTGGAGGAGCGTCAGGAGTGCTTCCTGTCTGTCTACAGCAGCCCGGCTGGCCCAAAGAGACCCTGGGGACCCATGCTCTGAGTCATGGCTTCCCAGGCCTTAGTCAGAACTGCCCCTGGTGGCAGCCCCTTCCAAGGGGTGGGGAGCAGAGCCTGTCGACTTGCTCCTGACCCACACACTGAGTCAGTCCCTGTCCCAGCTCTGCCGCCGCTGCTGTGCTGCGTGACTTCAGGAACCCCCAGCCTCGCTGAATCCATGTCCCCAGAAGGGAAAAGCCTGCCAGGCCTTGCCTTGCCCTGTCTGGGAATCCTTGCGGGAGCCACCCCTGAAACACCCCTATGGGAACCCCTTTGGTCTTCATCATTCTTGGGTGTTTTCCACTGACGGCTGGGGGTGTCTCCGGTGGCAGCTGGGCCTGAGCTGTCAGTCCAGGCAGGAGACAAACAAGCCTGTGACTCAGGCAGGGCATGGCACAGCTGGCGGAAGGAGGCGTGCCTGTTCTTTGTGGCTGGGTGGGGGGTTATCTGGACACAGGGAGTCTCCAGCTCCTGGCTTCCCACCTTGGTGCCCCCAGCCCACACCTGCAGCTTGGCCATGGTTCTTGGGGCCTCCCAAGGCTGCCCCTGCTGGGAAAGGCATCCTGACGCACCCGTCCCAGGGTAAGCCAAGGGCAGGGACACCCAGAAACGCCAGGCTGGAAGGTCAGAGAGCCCCTCCTCACCCCCCAACACCAAAAAGCCCTGGTCCACCCTCCAAGCCCTTGGGGTGAGCCTCATCACTAGTGACTATAACGGAATTTCAGTGCAGAATATCATACAAATTAGTTTATTTCTTCCTTAGTATTACAGTTCCAAAATGTAACCTGAAGGTCAGCACAGGAGCTGCTGTGACATAAAAAGAGAGAGTCACCTGGCGCCCCCTGCAGTCCTCCAGTTGCCCAGCAGCGGTGGGACACTCAGTGGCACACACTAGGTCTCTGTATGGCCTCCCACCTGCAAGGACTTCCCCGGGCAGGCCCAGCTGCCCAGAAGCCCCGGAACACACAGGAAGACAAAACTATAGGATGGCGGGTGGGGATCTGTGCCATACAAACTTGTAGTTAGAAAACCCAGCCGAGCATCTGTCTAGGATACTTCCTATATCAATATACCGTAGTTGGAACCAGAACTGTCTCCAGCCATCAGCAGTCTTGGCGGCTACTGTACAGCTGTCAGCATGACTACAGGCAGCGCCCGGGGCTACCTGGGGTAAGAAGTGGGCCCGCACATCACAACAGCGAGTCAGTGAGAGTCAGGGCCAGAGGGAAGAGCAACTCAGAGGCTCAGGCTGGCACAGATACAAGGGAGTCACACACATAACGTAAGAACTTGTTATATATAAAATAGATATGTGGAATCTAGAAACACCTTGAGAAAATAGCCTATAAAAATATAAACTGTAGTGAAAGCATACAAAAGTATTAACAGAGGTTCAACTGCTTTCTGGCAGGACACAGGGGAGAGAAAAGAGAATCAGCAGAGCTCACGTGAGTGCTCACACACAGCCCTCACAGGCACAGCAGGTGGCCTGGGGCAGGGTGGGAAGAGCGCTGGCCAGGCTGGGGGTCTGACGTAGGGAACGAGGCCCACCTTCTGCAGAGAGGTGACAAGAAACAATGGCCCAGCCAGGGGCAGGTTCAGAATGATGGCCTGGACTCCAGCTCTGCCACATGCTTGCTGTGTGACTGAAGTCACCCCCTTTTCTGGCCTCTGATTTCTCATCTGCACACTGGGGATGACAGTAGTGCCATCTCTTAGTGTGTGGGATTACTCGAGTTCCCACACATAAGCACTGAGCAGAGTGCCCGGCACTTGCATGGTGATGACAGGTGCGGATGTGTCTGCATCCTCAGGTAGGCATGAGGCCTGGCACCGGGCATGAGTCCGGGACGTCTGTGTCCCAGGACTGATTGACTGGGGGAATGAACACAGGCCCAGGCAGTCCTGGCGATGACTGTCAGAGCCAGTCGGCAATGTGACAAGTGTCCAGATGCAGTCTACAGAGAAACGTGCAGCTCGTGGGTTTCACATTATCCTCAGGTCAAGGCTCCAATTTACAATAAAAATGTTAAGGTTGTGATCACTTGCTCCTAACCACTGGTCAGTGGCTTAATAAAAATAAAACCAAAAGCTGTCCTGAGGCCTGGCTATGGATTTCTAGCACTAAGGGGTCAGCCACGCTGGTCTCTGGGGATCACAAAATAAGCCAGTTCCTCCAACACGGGGCCACCATCTTCCCCTCTCTGGATTCTGCCAGGCCCCAGACGCTCTGCATCCAGCAACAGGGGCTCGTTCCTTTCCTGTCAACCGAAGGCCCAACAGACTCACCAGCCCCAGGAAAAGCTGTGATGAAACAGAAATGCCCCGAAGGACTTCCTGCCCGTCCCCAGTGGAGCAGGCCATTTGCTCCTGCTGCCGTCAGCCGCCTGGGTTCCTGTCAACACACGGTGCACACGAGGGCACAGCCTTCTGTGTTTCCAAACCCCGCTGCCTGGACATGCTTAACTCTCGTCCAGAGGCTCAAGGTCAGAAAGGCCAGTTTTATTTAAATTCCGAATTCCCCAGCGTGTGTTCTAGAACATGGGAGCACCAGAGAACAGGGAAGACCCGAGCACAGGGGTCCCCGCTTGTGGATTTCTCAGGTTCCACTTCCTGCCTGGCTCTGCGGACCGGGCTGCCAGCCCCACCAGGCGGGAGGAGGCTTCATGTGAACGGGGCACAGGGTCCCCACTCACCAGCACTTTCTCTCCCATAGCTATCAGCCCACAGCCCCCACAAACCCCAAACCTAAGGCGCCCACCCCTCCCGTGCTGCAGAACGTGAGCCCGAAGTGTAATTCTTCATTTGCTCCTCAGTCAGGAGCTGACAGAGGCCTCTGAGCCCAGGCTGGCACCCGGGAAGCCAGACCCCACCTCTGCCTCAGGCCTGGAAGATTCCTCTGGGAGATGAGAAGGCGCCCCGTGGTCAGCTAAATTTGGGAGACGATGCTCAGCACCTTGAAAGGCTCCCAGAAGTTCTGCTGCAGAGCCTGGTTCAATCCTGTTTAATCCCCGTCTCCTGAATGCAGCTGACCCCACAGCTCCCTCCCTGTG